TGCCCACACTGTGAAAGTCAACAGAATAAGAACCTGGCCACATCACTCCCACATCAAGCTTGCAAGACAAGAGATGACCCAGCAGCTGCACCAATGTCGAGATAGACTGCCCAATGAACCCTAGATGAGGAAAATAGAAAGATCAACGACACCCGAGAGATCCACTAAAGCTTAGGTTCTACAAACCTTCACTCTATTAACTCTTATAACTTTAACTCTGGCCAAGGTACTTTGTTTCCTGATCTGGTCTTTGACTCATGAACACTAGCTGATCACTAGCTGATGGGACTTGGGACCCCATGGGCCATATAAGGAGATGCCAATACCTAGCCCAACGCAGTGTATTGAGAGAAACTCCCTTCTATATCTGCTCTGGAGGAAGGAGATCTAGGTCACAACGGACTATGTGTGGAGGGTCAGGGTCATACTTCTGTGCAAACTGGGGCTGTGAGTCAACTGGGACTGTCTCCTGAACACCACCAATAAAAGATGACCTTATCACAGTCAAAAGGGACCATGAATTAAACTCACAAGGACGGAGATACGGACTGCAGCCTAAACTCTATGCAAACAGTCTCTGGAGACTATGGTCCTTCTTTGACTGTAGCCCCTTTACAGTCCACCTCACCCTCAAGGAAAAAAAAACCTGGAATGGGGAGCGGGAAAGACCTGGCGAATATGGCTTTATGTACCTGGATATGATTATGGGGTATTATTCACAATTCAACTCATCACCCAGCAGGTCCAGTTCATATAGGGGGTGCCACTGGGCCCAAACTCAGCCTTGTCACACATTAAGGTACCCTCCCAGAAATTTGAGCCCACTGCAAAGATCACCCAGACCCTGGGACCCAAGACAATTCAGTCACAGCCTATGACTATAGACAAGGAGCTACAGCCTAGGACGGGGCCTTGGGACCTCCTCTGGGCCACATATCAGGTACTAAATGGTTCTAGGTCCAAGCACACCATTGAATGTCAGCTCTGTTTAGATACAAAGCCACTCTACTATGAAGCCATTCCTGGAAACTACACTTCTACTGAGAGCAAGACTTGCTGCTGGCAACACCCAGGTAATGGAAGGTTAACCCTTGGACTAGTTAAAGGAAATGGGTTTTGTGTTGCAAAAGAAACATGGTCAGTCCCATATGCTCATAGCCACTTATGTAATATCACCCAGGAGGTCTCAAATGAAGAAACTTATGTTGTACACCCTCTCCCCCACAATAACCTGGTGGGCATGCGCTACAAGGTTAATCCCGTGCATCCACATCCAAGCTCTCAGCCGCACTGATGGGTTCTGTGTACTGGTCCAACTTGTCCCCAAAATCCTGTACTATTCAGATGAAGAAATGAAACAGCAAACTGTCCCTGCCCCCAGTCACTCAAACTAAATGAACTGCCGCTGCTGCGGTCCGGGTGCAACCTTGTTAGGACTCAACATCACTGGTGTGGCAGAGGTGGGCACATCGGCCCTCATTCTCCAAGATGGCAATCATAAAGCTTTTTTTTTTTTTTTTTTTTTTTTTTTGGTTTTTTTGAGACAGGGTTTCTCTGTGTAGCTTTGGAGCCTGTCCTGGAACTTGCTTTGTAGACCAGGCTGGCCTCGAACTCACAGAGATCCGCCTGCCTCTGCCTCCCAAGTACTGGGATTAAAGGCGTACGCTACCACCGCCCAGCAATTATAAAGCTTTAAGTAGGCCGGGCGGTGGTGGCGCACACCTTTAATTCCCAGCACTCAGGAGGCAGAGCCAGGGGGATCTCTGTGAGTTCGAGGCCAGCCTGGGCTACCAAGTGAGTCCCAGGAAAGGCGCAAAGCTACACAGAGAAACCCTGTCTCAAAAAACCAAAAAAAAAAAAAAAAAAAAAAAAAAGCTTTAAGTATGGCTATAGATGCCGACATAACTGAGTTAGAAAAGTTCATGTTGGGATTGGGGATTTAGCTCAGTGGTAGAGCACTTGCCTAGCAAGCACAAGGCCCTGGGTTCGGTCCTCAGCTCCAGGAAAAAAAAAAAAAAGAAAGAAAAGTTCATGTCACACTTAGAAGCTTCCCTAATGTTCTTGGTCAAAGTTACCCTTCAAACCCAGCGAGGATTAGATCTCTTGTTCCCACAACAAGGGCGACTATGCCTAGCATTGGGAAAACAATGTTTTTATGCTAACCACTTGGGAGTCATAAAAGAATCTCTGTCTCTCAGTAAAAAAAATTATACAAAAGAGAAAAAGAAAAAACTCAAGATAAAAATTGGCTCCAATCCTTATTCTCCTGGTCATCATGACCATCACCCTCATCTCAGCCCTAATGCGACCCTAATTCTCTTCCTGATTGCATTAATTTGTGGTCCCTGTATAATCAATGCTCTGGTATGGTTTGTTAAAGACAGAATTTCTACCATACAACTCATGGTTCTCAAGTCCCAGTACATCCCCCTCACATCTCCCATGGACGAATGTGATATGCAGCTAACTCAAAGACTTGAGCAATTATCTACCCAAGGAGGAGGAAATGAAGGGACCGGAATGTGATTCTATCTTAGATACAGAACAACTCCATTGTAGAAAATTACCTAAGCCTGAGTCCAGGAAGTCCCTCAGCCAAGTTCAGCCAATCAGCTAAACAGTTCCAAACCTGGTCTTATAAGGCTGAGAGACCCAAAGTCACAGAATACGGTTGTTACTGACCATATATGACTAAAAAGCTCACAATGGATGAAATGGTTACCAGCCCCATCCAATCTACATGTGCCCCAGGTAACTGCTCCTTGACTACACAATTAGAACAGAGATTAGCTCAACATACTTAGAATTCCCCCAGTTCACTTTAAAAGGGGCTGCATGCCTTTGTCCTGGGTTGACATTGCCATTTTGTATGGATGATCGACCTCTGCATGCTCACTATTTCTGCAGAATAAACACTGTGTTTGCATACTATTTGAGTCTGGGGTCTTCAGCGATTCTCTTTAAACCCTTACAATTCAAAAAACTTTTCACCTTAAGACAGTGTGTTTAGAAGCTTTATGATGGCTCCATGGTTAAAAGAACAAGCTGCTCTTGCAGAGGACCCAGGCTCAACTCTCAACGTACATGACGGCTCACTAATACCTGAAACTCCAGTCTCAGGGAACCTGAGGTCCTCTTGTGGCCTCCAAAGGCACTAGGCCCATATGTGGTACACAGACACACAAACAGGCAAAACACTCACATACATAAAAAGAAAGAAAAGAAAAAATTGAATAAACAAATGCTAAAGAAAAAAGGTAGTAGATCTTTTAAGGATCAATAAAAGATGTGGTGATCCATCTTTTCAGAATCCTATTTAAAAGCAAATGAAGTATCATTCACTTCGCTTGTAAAAAGAACATTTGATAGCCAGGTGGTGGTGGCACTCCCTTTAATCCCAGCACTCATGAGTCAGAGACAGGCAGATCTCTGTGAGTTCAAGGCTAGCCTGGTCTACACAGTGAGTTCCAGGACAGTCAGGACTGTTTCACAGAGAAACCCTGTCTTAAAAAAAAAAAAAAAAGCTTACTGGCATGGAGAAACCACAGCTAACCACAGACAGATAGGAAAAGTAAGTACAAGATGAACAGGCCAATGAGGGCTTCAGAGGTACTGCCCTCACCTCCCTCCCTTCAATTTGCAAATTCTCAAAGTATATCTGCAACTTATTTCAGAAAAAGCACATCAGGAAAGGAATAGAATGGAGGCGTGTGAGGAAACAGACCAAGTGCTTCATCTAACACAGGGTTCTTAAACACCTCACAGTGCAATCCCGTCTGCCTGAGAAACTACACATGACTATATAAAACAGATGAGCTACAGAGATGGCTGAATGGTGAAAAGCACTGCTGCTTTTCCAGGTTCTATTCTCAGTACCCACATGGTGGCTCACACAGGGACAGCCAGGGCTACATAGAGAACCCTATCTCAAAACAAAACAACACAAAAAGCTACTGCTTCACGGGATCCAACTCCAGTTCCATGGGATCCAATGTCCTCTTCTGGCCTCCACAGACACTAGGCACACATGTGATGAACAGAAATACATGCCAACAAAACACCCATACAAATAAAATAAAATAATAAAAATTTTAAATAGACTAATCAAACATTTACTGATAATAAGTCTTAAAAAACTAAATTAAAACAATTCTTTGGTAGCCAGATGTGGTGGCACACATCTTTAATCCCAGCACTTGAGAAGCAGAGGCAGGCAGATCTCTATGAGTCCAAGGCCAGCCTGGTCTACATACTGAGACTCTGTATTTTAAAAAACAAAATAAAACAACAACAAAAAAATGCAGCAACAACATAACTCATTTTGTAATTTGTTAAGACAAAAGTAATGTATGTAGTAATGAGATGAATGTGCTTATCTAACACAATACAACCCAAAGTTGTATTAATTAATTTGATGGTGCTGAGGAGTGACAGTAGGAAAAACGTGACCTCTTTGATTCCCATAATTAAACCATTATGCTTCTGCACAGCAGAAAACTGTAAGTACATGAAAACATTGCAATTGGAACCTACGCTAATCTGGAATTTGAGGTGTTTCAGGCAGTTGATGAGGGTGGTGCATCACAGGAGGGCGTGTGCAGCATCAAACACACATGCTGTGTTCTCAGAATGAAGGCTGGAGTGAAGCCATGGACAACAACATGGACAAGCACTCTCTCCAGTTCACTAGCATTTGATTTTACATTGTTTGGTCCTTGCATGCTCAGAAACCTTGCTCTAGTGTCAAATTTTCAAACCCCACATTCAGTCACAAGATACAACATGAGATCTTGAGCCACAGTTTAAGTATCTTTAGAATACTGAATCAAAAACACTTCTCTGTATCATACACTTACTAATTTTTTCCTTTATTTTACTGACAAGCTCAAAAATTAACTGAGCAGCAATGCCAGTGAACCAGCTGCTTGAAACCACAGCTTTCAAACTGAAGGTGAACCTCCACCTCATTCACACACAAAACAGGTGTCTAGGACACTAACCGATTTGTACTTGTTCGGGCTGGCTGAGAGAAACGAAGGCTGACGTGTCATCAATCCAGGATATCTGAATGTTACCTGTTAATAGCGAATTAAAAACAAAGTGAGCATCTGAGCATTTAGAGAATCACACAATAGACTCAGTCCCAGCATATTCCAGTAGAGTCCCGACAGATGAAGTATTGCTGTAAGACTGGAAGCCTCAGCACTGGTCAGCTTACTGAAAACTTCAGTCCACTACTTACTTCTGAGATGGCTTAACGCCTAAGAGCACTTGCTGTGCTAGCATGAAGTCCTAACTTCAAACCCCTAGCACCCACATAAAAAAATCCAGGCCTGTAACTCCAGCACTGGGGGGCGGGAAACAGCAGGATCTCAGAAGCCCATTGGCCGGCCTAGGACAGTTTCAGGTTCAGTGAGAGATCCTGTCCCACAGCAGGACGCTCAATCTCCTCCACTGGTATATGAGGAGCATGTACCTTGTGTGTGTGTGTGTGTGTGTGTGTGTGTGTGTGTGTGTGTGTGTGTGTGTGTGTATGGTGTGCCTTGCAAACCATAAAGACCTCAGTTTGATTCTAGCAGCCATGTAAAAACGGTAAGCACAGTTGAGTGTGCCTGTATGCCCAGAGCTGGAGAGGTGGAGACGGGCAAATCCCTGGAACTTTTGGGCCAGTAAGCCTAGCAAAACTGGTGAGGTTTGGGTTCAGTGATAGACCATGCATCAAAACACTAAGGTTGAGAGAGAGCCAATGAGATGACTTAGTGGGTAAACGCACTTGCTGCCGAGACCTGAGTTGGATCTCCGGGACCCACATGGTAGAAGAGAACCAACTCTTATAAGCTGTCCTCTGGCCTTCACATACATGCTATGGCATATGTTTGTCCACACAAAATAAATATAATACTTTTAAAATCTTAGAAAAATAGTAAAGTAGATATTTAATTGAGGAAGATATCTGACATCAAGCTCTGGACTTTACGCACACCAGTGATAATAAATTTTAAAACTTAAAAAGAAAGAAACTTAGCTACAAGGGCATGCCACAATTCTGTCCAGTCTTATGCCAGGATCAGAAGTTGTTTATCTTTGAAGGTCACTAACAAAACTCAGAGAACATACACAATCAAACTGTTATAACTACTTCATTTTACAGACTGCTAGTGTTTGGATATTCTGTCCCTGCCCCATGTTAACACTTAATCTCCATCATCAGGTATTCAGACATTGGAAACATAAAAGGAGAGAATAAATGGAAGCATAATTGACTCATAATACTCAGCAGTGGGGCCTTGGGGTGGCAGGATAAGTTAGCTCATCCAGGGTGGTGCCCTCATGGGAGCACTGGTGGCTGTACAAGAAGAGGGGGTGCTTGTCAGATGCACACACACAAGGACCTGTGCTCCTCACTCATTCCAAGATGCTCTGTGCTGCCTCGGAACCCTGACAGCAAGAAGGCTGTGACTCCAAACTACTAGAAAGAGCTCTGAGCCAAGACCCTTTTTCCTAACACACCAGGCTGTGGTGAGCTTCCAACAGCAACCAAAAGTAGACTGCTCCAAAGACTCAGACTGAATACGAACACTGAAGTTGAGGGGATGTGATAAATAAACACTACAGACAGAAGGGAAATTCTGTGTTGAAACCAGGCCAGGAAAGGAGTGTGGAGGACAAGGAAAAGAAGGATGCAGACAGGGGAAGCTGCTGAGATGGCTCAGTGGATAAAGGAGACTGCAGTCAAGCTTGACCATTTCCAAAATCCACATGGTGGGAGGAGTGAGCTGATTCCTACAAGCTGTCCTCTGACTTCCACATGCAATCCACCACACATGCACGCACGCTTGTAATTTAAAAATTAAGAATTTGGACTTCCACATGCAGTCCATCACACATGCACGCACGCTTGTAATTTAAAAATTAAGAATTTGGAGAGAGAAAAACCAAGACAGGATGATAGGGAGAAAGAGTAGAAAAAAGTACTACACTGAAGCAAACAGTATGTAACACAGAAAGGAACCCAGGGCCCCGGAGTCTGAAGAGAAGAGGAGAACCTGCACTTCGCATCACTGTCCTTCGGAACAGACAGAGCACCAGATTTTAAAAATGGGTAAAGCAATAAAAGAAAAATTCATTCCACTAAGACTTTCAAAGGCTGGGAATTTTAAAAAACCATTTAGTTTCACTATCAAAGTGGAAAACAAAACTGTACAAAATCTCTCACTTGCAGCTTCTCAGTAAGGCCACACACTGACCTCCCTGCCAGGAGGCTGACCACCTCTCTGCCCAGGGGGTGCAGCTGCCTCTTTAAATAAGGAGCGCTGCCACACTGCTGAGCACCTTCCAGGGCCAGCTCCCTCCATCCTAGTGTCATGCCAAAGCCACAAAGATGTTGTTATCACTAGCACAATCACTGTTGTTTCTGATGAGAGAATACTTGCCCAAGGTCAGTCACACAGTTAATGTTTGTTTTACTTATTAAAACCATTGTAAAGAATTTGAGACACACACACCAAAACTAACTAGATCCAAAGTCTATACCTCTCAATGACCTTTTTTTAAAATGGGGTTTCATGGCAGCTCTGGAGCTTGCTCTGTAGACTCACAGAGATCCTCCACCACACCCACCCAGCTCAATGAATTTCAGACATTTAGAAAAGCCATTGCAAAACTGTGGTGCATCACACTGGGTTTCACACTTTTACCATCAAATATATTTTTATGGAATTATTCACCACCAAAAAACGAAAAATTCATGACAGAGTTGTTTTATTTAACTAAACTGAAAAAAAAAAAAGTCTAGCTATGGCATTGTACTTACTTGCTTTAAGCCTGACTACATAAGGTCAGAATTTAAATAGATGAAAACAGCAGAGACCATCAGCAGAGGAACTTTCTAGACACGTGCCTGCTTTCACATAAGGTGTTCTGGGTTGTTTTTAACTTAAGAGGTAATGTATTCTAAGTGGTATTAATAATAAAAACCCGGATGTGCTCATCATTTTGAAAAGACAGAAAAGCTTATAAAACAAAAAGACCAGGCTGGAGAGATGGCTCAGGGGTTAAGAGCACTGACTGTTCTTCCAGAGGACCCAGGTTCAATTCCCAGCATCCACATGGCAGCTTACAACTGTCTGTAATTCCAGTTCCAGGGTACCTGACAGCCTCATACAGATATACATGGAGGCAAAGCACCAATGTACATAAATAACATTTAAAAAAAACAAAACAAAACAAAAAGACCATATGTAAAATACTCCGTGGCATGGTTGGAGAGATGGCTCTGCCATTAAGAGCACTGACTGCTCTTTCAAAGGACCTGGGTTCAATTCCCAGTACCCACATGGAGGCTCACAACAGTCTGTAACTGCAGTATCAGGGGATCTGATGCTCTCTTCTGACCTCCAGGGCACTGCATACACATGGTGCTAATACAGAAATACAGACAAAAAAAAAATACAGATTTTTTAAATGAATAATAATAAAATACTCAATGGTGAATGTTGAATGCATCTTCCTTCACTTCCATCTGCTTTCTCATCTTAATTTCCTAATTAAAATAGTGTTAATTATGCAAGATCCTATTCTTTTTTAATCTAAGTATTAAAATACAGTTTGAGACTGGGCAGTGGTGGCACATGCCTTTAATCCCAGCACACGGGAGGCAGAGGCAGGCGGATCCCTGTGAGTTTGAGGCCAGCCTGGTCTACAGAGCAAGATCCAGGAAAGGCTCCAAAACTACACAGAGAAACCCGGTCTCGGAAAAAAAATAATACAGTTTAAATATTTTTTTTAATGTTTATACCTCTGCACATACACTTCAAGTATATTGTTTTATTCATTACTGTGCCGGATGATTTTATGCCAACATAAGCTAAAGTCATCTGAGGGAGGAACCTCAATTAAGAAAAATGCCTCCAGAAGACAGGGTTATAGACAACCTGTCATTCAGAGCACTGACTGATTAGTGATTGATGAGGAAGCAACCAGCCTATTGTGTGTATGGCCATTCCTGCGCTGGTGGTCCTGGGTTCTAGAAGAAAGCAGGCTGAGCAAGCCATGGGGGTTGAGCCAGTGAGCAGCACCCTCCATGGCCTCCGCATCAGCTCCTGCCTCCAGGTTCCTGCCCTGCTTGAGTTCCTGTCCTGACTTCCTTCAGTGCTGAACAGTGATGTGGAAGTGTAAGCCAGAAAACCCGTCCTCCGGTCATGGTGTTTCATTGTAGCAATAGAAACACTAACCAAGACAATTGCTATTATGTCTATTACAGAAGCTACAGCATACATGTGAAGGTCAGAGACAACGTGTGGAGTGGAGTCTCTCGTTCCACCTTAACGTGGGTTCCAGGTATTGAACTCACATCACCAAGCTTGCGCAGCAAACACCAAGCCATCTCATCAGCCTGTGAATATTCTCTTAAATGTCTGCACAGTTAAATCTTTTGAGGATATACAAGTATTACTAGGCATTCTACTACTGGCCAGTTTTCCACTTTCACTTTATTCCACCAAAGAGAATATACAGCTTCAATACTTCACTTGTTAAAATAACAAACCTGTACATTCACAAACCCTGAGAGGTCTAACCACATGATCTGTGACCTAAGAATTAGGTTATCAAAGATTTAATCTGGATCTTAATATTTTCAATTTTTCAAAGTCTTTATTACTTATCACTTAGTAGTAAATGTTAACTGAGGTTTTGTTCACTTTCTTTTTTTTTTTTTCTCGGAGCTGAGGACCGAACCCAGGGCCTTGCACTTGCTACGCAAGCGCTCTACCACTGAGCTAAATCCCCAACCCATTTTGTTCACTTTTTTTATGGCAATGCTAGGGATGGAATCCAGGGCCCTCTACCACTGAGTGCCATCTTCAACCCTTCAATGATACATATATAAATATTTGATTTTTAATATAAAAAAAAGAATGAGAGAAACTGACTACCTTACACACATCTGGAGTCTTGGTCTGCTCAGACATCTGTGTTTGTTACTTTCAATATTAATCTCATGTAGAGACTGCTTGCCAGTATTAAATAGACAGTCTCTCTGAATTTAATCTTAAAAATTATTGACCCTGACTTAGGTTTGTTTCCCTCATCAGCAGTAAGGCAGTCACAGTGATGGTCCATCTAACTGTCAGCAAGGGTTACACATTGCACCTCAGATCACATTAGAACAGCACAAGGCCGTGACTGGACTTAGAAATCCTTTACACCCTCTCCTTCTGACCATCTCTACAACAGGACAAAGGCAAAACTTCAAACAGTTGTCACAACCTTTCTCGACTCACCAAAGGCGCTGAAGAGCTGGTAAAGGTCACTGGTTTTCCACTCTTTGGGGAATGTCACGTGGAGAACATGATCACGTTTAGGCTGCACTACAAATGTAGCAAAAGGACGACAGTTAAGACATGATCCAAGCACTGGCAAGGGGCCAGCTCAGTCACTGAGACACTTGCCACACAGACATGAGGCCTGTGCCTGGCCTCCAGACCCCATAAAAAAGTAGACATGGAGGAGTATGCTCCAAGTGCCAGTACTGGGGAGGGGTAGACAGGAGTATCTGTCCCTGGGACTCTCTGGCCAATAGTCTATCCTAACCAGTGAGCTCCAGGTGGACAATGGGTCTCAAAGAACAAGGTGAACAGCTCCTGAGGAACAATAGCCAAGGCTGGCTTCTAGCAAGGGACCAGGCAAGTCAGTGACTTTCTGATTGCCTCAGCCCACAGAATGAAAGGATTCTAAGCATGCACCACCACACTTGGCAAGCATGGATTCTTTAATTAAACTAGCCCATACTACCTTGAAGAATTAACACAGATGTTTCATGGTTACCAAACAACTCCTAAGAGGATCAGTAGAAGTCTTACCACTATGTAGACACAGCTGACACAAAGACACAGTAATCCTGCCTCTGCTCCCAAGTGCTGGGATTCCAGATGTACATTTCCACACCCAGGCATTAGCAGGCTGTTCTTATATGTCAGGTAACCCACAACAATTTCATTAAAAAAATTAACTTGCTAAATTTAAATATATGCATAAGTAACTAGAAAACAGAAAATTTAACAAATTACTGATATAAACAGCATATTTTAAATATGTATTGGAAATGATTCTACTTTGTGGAGGATGAAACTATGAACATATATTTTTCCAGGCTATGAGACATATTTATATAGCCTGGAAAAATGTAATGAAGGCCCAAGGGTCCCCTGAACTTTTAAGTATGCAATCCCGACCAACCACAAACCACTGCCCATGTTTAAGTAAAAAAGGTCTTTTGTCAGCACTTTTTTCCAGGTAACCCTTTCAGATTTCACTCTGACAACAAAGATGCAATGGGGAAATCAAAGTATACTCACAGTCTGGCCCTTCCAAGTTCAGATAGGGAATGTCCATGACCCTCATAAGAAATAACCTACCAAAAGAAAAACAAACAAGCAGGTAACAAACTCATTTATTTAAAAAAAAAATCTATTAAAATGTTAGCAGAAGCTGCTTGTCACTGTGTGGTTTGGATAAGAATGGCCTCCATGGGCTCCTGTTTAATTACATGGTCCTCTGCTAGTGGAAATGTTGAGGAGTAAGAGCTGTGGTCTGGTAAGAAGAAAAACTTATGCCATGACCCGTGTGCTCTCTCTGCTCCCTAAGTGCACATTCCCGCCACTACGCCTCCTTTGTTCTGCCATCATGGACTCCAACACTCTGAAACCATTAGCCCAATTAAGTGCTTTCTTCTATAAGCTGCCTAGGTTATAGTGTTTTCTCACATGCCTAGGTCACGGTGTTATTTTCTCACAGCAATAGAGAAATAACAAGCGTGCTTATTCTATTTCTAAAAAAAAAAAATTAGAATTCTTAAAATTCACTTCAGAGATTTTTTTCCTCTTGAGCTCAATATTTATCATTAAGATAAAAAATAAAATTACAAGTTGTGGTATCTCCAACACCTACAACAATTCCAGGTACTCAGTAGTTTCTCAAAAAATACCAACTAGATTAATGAAATTTTTAATGAAAAGTTGAAAGAAAACCCTGTGTGGAGCACTGTCCTACTAGTTAGTCCAAAGAAACAATGAGAAAAACAAATACTAACTCCTTGCCAACATATGAAAAGGTTCCTATACAGTCATATTTGTGAGAGGAGGATGACATTCATTTATTCTTATTTTTATTTTTTTAATGAAATACAAAGTCACTGGGTGTAGGGTAAATCCTAAAGACTGAAGTAAGTAACTGTCTTCAAATATTCACATTATTATTGTCATGTAAAACATATTTGAAGCACAAAACAAAACAATCCTTGATAAAGAAAGTTATCATGGGGCTAGGGAGATGGCTCAATGGGTAAGAATATTTGCTATGCAAGCCTGAGAACCTGAATTCAAATCCCCAGCATCCATGGATAACGCCAGGTGTGGCTGCACATACTATAACACCAGCACTATGGGGAGTAAGGGGGTCACTGGGGCTTGCTGGTTACCAGCAAGAGGGATACCCAATATCGTCCTCTGGCCTCCACGTGTACACAGGTACACTCACTCACCTGGCCACACAGCCTGTCTCTCATACACACGTGTGCATAGACCCCACACACATGGCTATCACACAAATATAAAGCATAGCAAGCATTTTATGTATAGTTTCTGAAATGGATACAAAGGTACACTTAAAAAACAGTATTCATTAATTACATCTGTCTGAAATGTCTTTCCATTTTCTTTTAGGAGCTAAATCATGAACAAAATCAGGCTTTCTGTTGTGTCTAGGATGATACTAATGAGTTCTACTACTTGGATAACAATATGTTGTGTGCTTCCGTTAGAAGAGCTATTATGCCACAAATTAAAAAGACAATCTAAGTGCCCAACAAGCAATTAGTTTGGCTTCAGTGACCTGCAATTAAGGCACATATTACCAGGCGTCAAAAACAAGCAGGGTATGATTAGCTCACAGATGAGCCATCAGTAGAACAGCTCTGTCCTGCACTGTCAAAAAGTGAGCTCACAGTAGTCGGTGGCTGGAGAACTTGTATGGCCTCCAATACAATAAACCAGGTCCTACAGCTAAGAAAACAAATTTCTTTTTAGCTCACAAATATAGTATAGATCTACTATCTGCTTATATAAACTATGTCCCCCAAAGGAATCCATGTTCCTCACAGTGTTAGGCGGTGGCAGAACACAACAAGCACACAGCACAGCAGACACACAGCACAGCAGACACACAGCACAGCAGACAGACACACAGCACAGCAGACACACAGCACAGCAGACAGACACACAGCACAGCAGACACACAGCACAGCAGACACACAGCACAGCAGACAGACACACAGCACAGCAGACACACAGCACAGCAGACACACAGCACAGCAGACAGACACACAACACAGCAGACAGACACACAGCACAGCAGACACACAGCACAGCAGACAGACACACAGCACAGCAGACAGACACACAGCACAGCAGACACACAGCACAGCAGACAGACACACAGCACAGCAGACACACAGCACAGCAGACAGACACACAGCACAGCAGACACACAGCACAGCAGATCTGACTGACTGGGCAGCTATCGTTATCTCCGTCACCCACAGCAATTTTATACTATGAATAATTTTCAATTCTCTTTTTAGTAGAATTAGGTAGTCTCCTCAAATCTCAAAATAAAATTAAAAATAAAACAAAAATAATCACTTCAGACCAACGAGATGGCTCCACAGGTAAAGGTGTTTGCCATACAAGCCTGGTGGCCTGAGTCTGATTCTCCAAAATCATGTAAAGGCAGAAGGAGAGAAATGATACACCAAAGATGATCTTAACAAACATGCTGTGACAAAAACACTCACATTTACAGCATGGACACATGTACAATAATAATAAATGTTTGAAAATTACAAATTGGACCTGGAGAGCAGATCAGAGATTAAGATCACTGGCTGCTCATGCAGAAGACCTGGGTTTGATTCCTAGCAGCCACATGGCAGCTAACAACTGTTGGAAACTCTAGTTTAGGGGATTCGATGTCCTCTTTTGAACCCCGAGTACCACGCACACACGGTACATATATAGAAATGTAGACAAAACAACCATACCCATATAATAAAACTTTAAAAATTCTGTGGGGAAAAAAAGGAGGCTTCAGAAAAATATATAACAAGCTGAAGAGATGGATGGAGTGCTTGTTGCTCCTGCAGAGGACACAGGTTCAGTACCCAGAACCCAAACAGCAGTTCACAACTATCTATAACTATAGTTCCAGAGGATTAAAGGCCTTCTTCAGGCATCTAAGAGCACCAGGCATGCCTGTGATGTGTAGACATATATTCATACTTGCATGCACATAAAATAAATCTTAAAAAGAAGTTTTTAATTATCACTTACTATCCTTTTGCTAAGATCAAGATATAGAAGTTAATGAACGGCAGGATAGTAGAGATTAATTGTAGATCACTTGCCTAATATATGTGAAGTCCTGAGTTCAATCTCTAATACCATAAAATAAAAAAAATTTAAAGGCAAGGATCATACATATTGTAATTTAAAATTTTAATCTAAATTTCAAGAATAAAAGTTGAGCTGGGTATCGTGGCCCACATATATAATCTCAACACTCATGAGGCAAAGGCAGGTAGATAAAAGTAAGTTCAAGGCCAGCCAGGGCTACAAAGTAAAACCCTCAGACTCTGAGACTCAAAAAAAAAAAAAGGAAGAAAGAAAAAATAAGTTGAATCAGTAAGATGGTCAATGCTGTACTATAAACAAAGCAATAATCAAAGTTAACTGGCTATAGGGGAGTAAAGGTTATCAACAGTCTTTTGTTTGTTTTTGCTTTTTGAGACAGGGTTTCTCTGTGTAGTCCTGGCTGTCCTAGAACTCGCTCTGTAGACCAGGCTGGCCTCAAACTCACAGAGATCCGCCTGCCTCTGCCTCCCTCGTGCTGGATTAAAGGCGTGCACCACCACCCGGCCATATCAACAGTCTCAACCCCGCCCCTGCATGAACTACAACATCAACTAACCAGGTAAGATGTGCCCAGCAGGGCGGCAGTGGCACAACAGTTATGGATGCAGCAGCACATTCTCTGGTTGGCTGCGGGGCCTACTTCCCAAGAAGACAGCCGTGCCTAGTACAACAAACCTGGGCAGAAACCTCCGACTCAGGAGGTCCTGAGCTCTAAGAGTAACCTACTATTGCTGCTTAGCTAAACTGGAAAGCATCAAACTGCTTTTTAAATACTTATATTTAAAATAAATAAATACTTATATTTATACCCATAGACAAAAGCTACTCTTGACACTGTCTAGGGTCCACTATGATTAAAGAATTAAAAGGTAGGAAAGAAGTATCACCAGAAATCTTGGGAAGGTCCAATGGAGCCATCACAATATAAGGGAAATCAGGGTCCCCTCTTGGGGTTCTTCATCTTATTAATAAAAGAACTTAAGAAAGGACACAAAGAGAAGCTCAGGGGCAAAGAGCAGACTCACATAGAATCTTAAGGACAAGTCATTACAGTTTAAAAAGAAAACCCCCAGAGCAGGCAAGCTGTAAATCTTGCAGCTGCCAGGAAAGGAGGGGGAGAAATGGAGAAGAGAAAGAACAAAAGCCATGTGTCTGAGACAGGGACGCATGGAGGTCAGCCACCTGGCAGCAGGCAGTCAGTCGCACAACAGGGAAGAGAGCTTTAGAAAGAGCAAGGAGGCCCAAAGCATTAGTTTGAGTTTAAAAGCATACTTGGGCTCTGGCCAGCATCTGAAAGAAAAAAGAAGAAAAGGAAACAGTTATGGCTCTCTAAGGAAGGGCTGGCATACCCAGCCAAAGATCATGGCAGCTCATGAGGAGTGTACTAAGGGGCAGAAATTCTAGAAAGGAAAAGTACATTATCTTGAGATGAACCTGCCTTCCTGGGAGTGGTCCCTGGCTAGGTCCTTGGCTTGTCCTACTGGATTAAACTTCAATGGCTTAGACAAAGGCATCTCTCCACCTGGGGGTGATCCCATTCTTTACACTCTCATACTTAAATCTCTTTGTAGCAAACAGGGGTAAATAGAGAGACTAGGAATGAAGGACTATGGTGGTACTTTATTTGTACTGAAATGTGATTTTATTTGTATGCTAATAAATAAAGTTACCTGGGGGTCAGAGCTAATAGCAAGCCATAGCAGAGGTGGGCGGTGGTGGCGGATGCCTTTAATCCCAACACTTGGTAGACAGAACTAGGTAGATCTCTGTGTGGTCAAGGATTCAGCCAGCATTGGAGACACACGCCTTTAATCTCAATACTAACCATAGAAGATCTGGAGGTCTGTACAGACAGGTAGTGAGGAGGCGGTCAGGTGGTTGGGTTTACAACCAATGAGAAGGCAGAACAGAAAGTCTATATAAAGACAAACACTCAGGAAGTAGG